GGAAGCCTAAGTTTTCATATGCCTTTATTTATTTAGCAAATGAGATGTCACATTATACTTTATGTTAATAAAATAATAATTGGCCAAAAATTGAACTAGCCCACTTGTGTGGTTGCGAAAAGACTGAAGAGAAAGAAGATTGAGAAGGGAATGAGAAGGATTTACATCCACTCTTTTTATTTTTGGAGCAAATGGCTTGTCATAATCACCAAGCAAATTGATAAATGTATATAGGGCTAACAGTCTTGTTCGCAATCCGGAGGGGTCTTAATTTGTGCCGTCCAGATCAAACAATTGGTGCTGTCCATTTGTTGTACAGACTAATATAGTGGAGCCATCTTCTGGAAAATGTGATTATTTGATATACTTAATTAATCCCTAAACCACCTTCATTAATTGACATTTAGTCTTCCTCTATCACTATGAGCAAGTTCTTTTCCCTTGACTCCTAGCAACACGACAAACATATATATATATATATGTTGAAGAATATAAGTCACACATCAGAAACTTAACTAAATAAAATACAATATATAATGAGTGGTTCCACTACTAATATGACTAAGACCTTTTGTGATAAAACTCCACACTTATTGGACTTTGTAGGTGGTTAAATTGGGGACAATATCAGTGTTATTAGTAATGAGCCGCTAGCCCGTCTCTCTAAATTTAACAATATATACACACGTCAAATCTTGATTATAGAAAATGGTTGTGATTATAGAAAATTGGGTAGTATTGCATACAATTTACAAAGCTGCCATATATATAGTTGACAACTGAAAACATTTCATTACTCAACCTTTTGTTTTACGTATTGATTTCAAGAAGCTGTTTTGGCATTGACCTTAGACATACTGTTGGTATGCCCAACAACCATTATCACGCCTTCAAGGATATGTCTGCAGTTGATGATATATACTCACAAAGAATATTTATTATATCTTAAATCATACACATCGGAGCATCTCCGTACCAAATAACAAAATTTCAAATTTTATCCTACTTTTCGACTGAATAAAACATAAATTACAAGCCATTTGCATGGAATTTTTTTAGGGTGTACATTGAATGTTTTGCACGTAACGAGCTATTAGTCTAATGATAATTATCTTCAATTTATTAAAAGAGACTCGCAGTTGGAATAATCCATTTCTCAATAATATAACATACACAATCTCACATAATAGACCTCACAGAAATTTGTTCGAAAGTGAAGCGCATTCAATGATCATGTACGAATCTATAAAACTGAAATAATTTTGCAGAGTCGTGTGTCTCTTGATGAAGTTGGAAACACGATTACTTCT